AGAAAATCAAAAGGAAGAAGATGACTCTTCTCCCAGCTATCATGGCCACTTGGCAGCGGTACTATAATGAATCCCAACGCACACACTCTCAGCTGTATCAACATGTCTACCTGACCCCCTCTACGCCATAGAGGGCTCAAGTTTCATCGTCATGGCAACCAAGCTGGCGAAAGGGGATCATTACCCGCCATTTTCATGTAAAAAAATTCAGATAGAAGACTCAAGTCGTCGTCGTCGTGCGTAGATATGTGAGCAAGGATGTGTATGGACAGACAGGTGGAGAGACTGGTATTAAGTGGGAGAAAGGAGATTGGTTAACGGCCATGTTTGATTGGGGGTTGGGCCACGCGCGTGTGTTTGGACGGCGTCTGGAGGTTTGTTGACCACTCACAGTCAGTGACATTTTGAGTCATTGCCTGCCAGATTTTATTAGGGATGATTAAATGATGGCTTGATGGCTGAAGCATGTGAAGGTTTTTTAATCATAGAGCTGGGGTTATTCTATAAAATGTGGATATATGAGAAAATAGATAGTTATATGAAAGGAATTTGATTTGCTATCCATTCCCAATTCAAGCACTTCAATATACACTTTACATCAAATCTTGACATTAACAGGTGTCCAGTACACAGGCAGCTCCAGTCTAAATCCCCAAAATGTATTAATATTACTTTTTTTATTATAGGGCTCATACACACAGACCCTACAAATTTCAAGCTGAACTCCTTACAAAAAAAGTGCATGTGAAGCCCTAGAGATGCTATAGTCAAGTGGTTTGAGCACTTGACTGGAAATGGAAAAGGTTGTGGGTTCAATCAATGACACGTCACATCTTTTTGAAAGGCATAAATCTGCATTTACAACTCCATACCCAAGAGAGAAATGGGGACCTGGTAGGATGACGAAATGCCCTCATGGCCATATGCCCTCATGGTGACCATATGGTAGGAATACCCCTCAGGGAGTAGAGATGGTGCACACTATGCATGACTGAATCTGATTAGCTGTAGAATAGAGATGGTCAGTGGAGCCAGACATAGTCTCAGTGGAACAACCAACGATATCAGAGACTGGAGCTTTCGGTCTAATAAGGTTCTACTTTTATTGCTTCAGGACAGCAAACAATCTGATGTAGTTTATGAGGGAATTTTGTGAAGTAAAAAAACTTTGGATATAAACACACTCAAGATGCTTCAGTTACCAATGTACTACATGAACTATCAGAAAGAACCATCTGATTTTGTTTTGTTTAAACATTGTTTCTCATTGAAACGGAACATAATCAACATGAACACTTCCACATGAACACAATGAGACCTGTATATGAAGACTGTTAATGCAGCTTTTCATGTCATTTTCCTTTTGCTGGTACAATGGCATGCATCATGATTTATTCTAACAAGAATTGGATTATAGACCCTTTTATCAAAGTCACTCAGCATCTTTTCTTCCCAGGTCCCCAAAGCCGTGCCATTTGTCTGGCTCCATTAGAAGGCTTTATAAAGCCCTTATGAATTATTCATTTTATCAGATGCTCTCTCTCGTGGAGATGATCTTTCACACAGCATTGCAGACATTATTGGAGGCGGCAATAATGCGTGCTGTGAGACAGAACTCATATTGTGCAATTACAGTCCCGGGTGTGCATATTCATGTGGGGATTTCTTGTCAAAGTATATAAATTTTCTGACATGTTTAGGCACTTGCATATATAATTTAACAGATTGTAGTTGTTTGATAACGGTTTTCAGAGGAATAAAGAACATTTTTTACTGTAGTTGCATGCCTGTTGGAATGGCACGATTCCCCTTGTAGTAGTTTTTTAATTATCATATTCGTGACATGAATGTGAAACGTGAAAGCGCAAGTCATGAGTCATTGGGGCTGCAAACCATATCATGCAAGTTCCAAAGAGAGCAGAATATTATGCCCATATAGATCACTTTGAAATGCCAGCCATGTTAAGTAACCATACATCTAGGCAGTGAACAAAATAGACATTATAGCTATTTCAGTGTCAGAAAATTATTTCAATGTGACAAAGATGTTACTTCAGCAAACTTTTACATCATCTGTTGAGAGCCAGAAAGGTGTTCAATAATTTTAAAGTATATATATGAGTTGTTCCTTTCTGGTCCTCAATAAGTGATAAATTTGATTCATTTTTATTGTGATATTTGATGCTTTGATACCAAAATGTTTGGGTACCGTAACCCTTATTGTAAGATATATAATAGTTACAATTTCCCCCGTTCATTTGTCCTCTTGATACAAACGGTGTTCTGCAACATGTCTCCACTATGCTGGTACCCCATTTTAAACTCAAGATGAGAAACAAGCTCTTCATTTACCCCAAAGTAACCTTTGGTTTTGTCTGTTTGAAGCCAGAAGGGCGTTAACTCCTCTTATTCTACACAGAGTGAACACCCTGCTGGCTCCAAACAGATGATATAATGATAAACAAGTGTCTGTATAAACTGCCTGTGTCACTTGATAAAGGCTAAACAGATATTTAATTACTTTTTTGTGTGTCTTCCAAGATTTTGATTTGCCAGGAACCTTCCCATTTACAGTAACCTACCTGCAACAAAATGCCACTATGAAATGAGATGATGAAAACATAATCTGAAGTCTGTGTATTGTATAACAGACAGACAACAGAGTATATATCAGGGCCTGCTTTGTTACTTAACAATTTTTAAAACCCCTGTTGCCACTCATTAACGTTTGAAACGGTTTCTGTTAAAGTGTGGCTATCTTTTAGATCAGGTTTGTCCATCAAGCTTGCATGGGCCCTATTTATAATACGTGCTGATTCAACTTTTCCCCACATTGCACCCAAGTGATGAAAACAACATCAAAAGTAAAATTGATTTGTCTGCAATCTAAAGTTAGTTTCTGGATTTGCCTACCTTTTAACATAACCCAGAAAGACGCTACGGGGCAAGAATAACATGCAAGCCCCTGGGGGCAAGTTAGTTCCACCGGTCACATCTATCTCTCATATAATTGATTACGCTTGAGTCATCCGCTTACGTGGTGTCCTTTAAGGAACATCACTCAAGACCGTGTTTGTTCAACGTAAAGACCTGCTCCACCAGGGACTTCTTTCGGTAACAGAAGTACACTTTGGAAAACAAGAACGTGACAGATGTATGTCGAGAATTGCAGATGGGCACAGAACATTAGATTGATAATTTTTTTGTATTTGGTATATCATTGTACATTTCGTGTGCGTGATTTTGCAACCATTGCGTATTCAGGGGACTTGCAGTTTGTTGTAATTGCAGAATTTGTAAAATATTGATAGCCCTCCACAAATTGGATTTAGTTTAAGATGGGGTTTGATTATATTTCTGTCGTTAATCATTGCTTTAATTGTATTTCTGTCATAAAATCACTCCTTTGAGATGGCAAGATACCATTTTCTGTGTTCTATTCATTATTTCAAACTTTCTTATCACTATTGTGTCTGTAATACAATTGTGCAGACTGTATGTTGTGCTAGTTAGAATTCAGTCTTATAGCTTGCATCAGACCGAATCTTCAATGACTTTTCTCCTAGAAAGATTTTGAAATTGATTTTTTTTTTTTGCTCATCATGTTTGCTACTTAGAATGTGCATGCGATTATGTATCTGTCCTTCTGTAGAGGGAATTCAGTCAGTTATCTTGTCTATTTTATTATGAAAACATGTCTGTATTAAGTGCATTAACTTCCATGTATTCAATCAAACTCATATTGAGTATTGCCAATCTTTAAACAATTCTGAGAAATGAGAATCATTTCAAATTTGTAGACATTTTACATGTGAAACATGATTGCAATGTAAAATTGGATGAATAAATGCAAAAGAAGAAAGGTTTTTAACCAGAAAATTAGAATGGAAGATTGATGACTACCTCTAGAAACTTTTTGAAATGCTGGGTGAAAATATGGTTCTTTTTATAGCTGTTCTTTCTTTACAAAATAATCTGCACACAGTGAGGGTAACGGAAGCATGTTCCTGTGAAATATCTTGTAATCTAAGGTCTTTGGTTTAACTAATGCAGTTCAGAATTATTAGTATAATTTCTGAATTTAAAAATAAGTTTGCTATATTAAGGTTGTTCAAAAATTAACTTAGTTTTGTAAATTGAAATATATGTAAAAAATGCTTTTATAGAAATCAAATCATCAATCAAAACAGATTTTATATCAAATCGCTCAAATTCATCTGTTAAATAATAGAAGTCTTCAAGGAAATTTCTCAGACTTTTATTAGCTAAGCTCTTCTAAAGACAAGAATGCGACCTTTGACACCTGATTACAGTCAATAATTCATTTCCAAACGGAGGTTGCACTTCTCATTAGGGTAGAAGTGCTGCCTTTCAGTGACTCAGAGATATGTGAACGCGGCCTGATTGATAGCGTTTGGTCAGAAGTAATACGCTCTGCTGTGAGTGATGTAAACATAGTTTCAGGGCTCATGATCATTAATCCACTTTCCTCCGTCATGACCCTCCTATCAATTATCCCCCACCCGGATGATTTATGCTTACAAGTCAAAACACTTTGATTTATAGCTCAGTGTTGTAAATAAGAGCCTTGTTTCTTCACGGTTTTTATCAAGTCCATACCTTAATGGTTTTCACAAAACTTGTTCCTTCTACCTGTCCAAGAGTATATACATTTGGCAGTCTGAATCAGTGGAAAGGTTGTGTGTGCAATATCTCAAATTTGAAATCATTTTTTAACAGGAAGTATTTAACATTACACAAATTGGATGATCACTGCTATGAGAAAATTGTAGCAAATTGGCAATGTGGTGGCATTGAAAGATTTTTTTCATTGCAGGGATGAACATTTCTTCATTGGAACTATTTTTCTGTTCAACACGCTACTTTATGGCCTATATAAACAAATATGAACTTAAATTTGTATATAAATGATATTTTATTGTTAGGAAACTTTTAAAGGAGTATCAAAATCTAACTTATGATTTTCATTTGTCTTTATTACTTTCCAGGTCTGTGTTGCTTTCAATTTTGTTCACACTCATGCAGGTTAGTGTAGAGATGCTCTTGAAGATTTAATGTAACTTTTTTTTTCTGTCCTATTATTCTTCAATTATTTATCCATTGCCTCCGGGAACCAATTTGCCCCTGTACATTGCTTATGAGAATTGGAGAATCCAGTTCTCAATGGGTTAAATTCTTTGTGATTCAGCTTTTTTTTAATTTTGTGTGAAGAGTAAAAATTTGAAAGTTTGAGATAACTAAGCCTTCCTTCATAGGAAAGGTCTTAGTGAAATTAGGCCAATAAAGGACTGTTCCTGATCTGTAGCCAATATGGCCCTTTCTCTGTTCTGCAAATTTATTGTGTAATGACTTTACACAACATTGGATGGTTCACTCCTTACACAGGGGTCTTGTTAAGTTTGGGAAAATAAAATTACACAACTTTACACTGCAAATTCGTTTTGTAAAGTTGTGTAATTTTTGTACACAACTTAACACATCCCTTGGTGAGGAGTGAACCACCCAATGTTGTGTAAAGTTGTTACACAATGAATTTGCAGTATAGCCTTACATTAGCCCACAGTGCTGATTCTATGATTAATAGTGAATAGCGTGAACCTCATTAAAAAAGACTATATATGATAATTTACACTTTCCTAACTTAAGATATTGCAATTTCTTCCAAGATCAAACTGTAGTCGGATCGTACCGCAGTCGAATCCTCAAGTCTGCCGTTGACTTAAGCTTTCAAGTAAATACAAAGAGAGCCCACAAGCATGAAGCTCATATTTATCTTGCGATACTCCTGGCAAGCAAGCTCCCATTGTTGTCTGCCAAAGGTCTCGTTTCCTGGCTAGGCTATAGCTAGCTCAAAAATTGCCGGCCATGATTTTTCCAATAAGCTGTAAATGCCAGAGTTGCCAAATCGAATCAAATCGGAATTGAATTATTTAGTTGCAATGGTAAAGAATGTAACCGAGTCCGTGCAGGAAGAAAGTAATAAGATTTGAGTGTCTGTCAAAAATTCTATAGAAACATACAAGAGGTATAATGGAAGGGAAAGGGTTTTCTTTCAAGAAGCACTGCATGATATAATGAGAAGACTGGTATTCTATTGTTGTAAGATAGAAACTCGTTTAAATGCCACAGCATGTCTGCCCTGTATTTTTCAACCATCCCTTAGTATTGAATATATGAAAAATGGCTTGTTCCGGTGCTTTTTTAAGCAGATATGCATGTACACATTTTTGCTTACTTTTAATTTTCTTTTTCCTTAGGAGTGTGGAACCATCTATAAGGGCTGATGATAATTGATTTAGGAAAGCAAATCAGCTTTTTCATCGTGAGACGTGAAAAGATAAAAACAGAGCGAAGAAAATATACAAATTTGTTGAAATTAAACTACATTCCCCCCAAATAATTAAACAAATGTAAAACTCCTTCAACTCAGTTACAACAGCCATGTTTTTTGTCTTCTATAAGATATGGGTACTCCACATAAAAAGCAACCTTATCATTTTCACAGCAGGGATGAAAAACTGCATAGGAATTTATCTTTACTTGGACTAACATACACAATCCCCCAAAGTGTGCTTTTCCACCTCTTTCTAGTTTAGAAAAAGGAAAGTATAAACATCAGCAGTGAGATGATTGACTTCAAGTTAATAATATAGAGTGAGGGTCTTGGCGTTGCACCTCTCCCGGTCGGTCGTTCGTCCGGTCGGGCAGGCTCACGCTAGATATATTATTAATGTAGCTTGTGGAAGAGGCGAGATGGGTGGATGACATTATGTAAACACGGAGAGCCATCCCTAGATGACTTGAGAAAATAATGAAAGGCAAAATGCACAGGTGTCTCACGAAGGAGATATAGCTTGTACTTGTTGAGGGGAAAGTGAGGAGGGTGCTTGAGATAAAAATGTATTTGGTGATAGATCTCAGCCATACATACAGGGACTCATCTAGAGGGTAATTGAATGGATGGAATTTGTTAAGGTGAAGGAGTGATGGTTTATTGCAGCCTAAATCTTAAGAGCATCTTTAACCTTCACCTTTTGAGGAAAGTAAGGATGTGATGTGTATAAAAATATTCAGGAGGATAGATTTTTTTCTCTCCCAGCAGATAGCTTGTTACTTGGAATTTTTTTTATTGCTAGAGAATTGGGAAGGGCATTGGTTAGAGAAACAAGTGTTTTCAAAGCTTGTTCATTGAAGCATAAGTTGTTTTGTGTGTTGCATCAATTTTTTTCCAGGAAAGATGGGAAGTTTTATATGTACTTTACTGCAGCGATTGACTTGTCACTTTGAAGGGAAATGGGAAGGACTTAATTTAGATAAAATCAATATTGTGTATAACATTGTGTGTTGTTTTATATATTTTATATATTGCATCAGACTTTTTGAGAGAAAGTGAGGATGTGTCGAAGATTTAGATATTTGGGAGTAGATTACATTTTTTTTCTCCAGTCACACAGCATGCTACCCAAAAGAGTTGTAGGGAGATCGGAATGATACGTTTATGAAAGAAGACAAATATTTGGTAAAAGAATGTTTATTACAGCCTCTAATTTTTTAAAGGCATATCATCTTAGTTGAATCAATGTATTCCCAAAGTTACATGCAAATAGATGCAGTATATGTTACAAACAATTTCACATTATGGAGGCCTGCTGTTTTCACACCTTACCCAGATAACAATTTCTGAACTCAGCAGCTATCAAAGAAAAGACACCTCCGTTACAACTGAAAACTTTATAAGCTAACGTTTATGCATGCTGATATTTTTACAGATGACAAACAGAGAGACTTTCATGAGTTGCTTATGGGGTAACCAACAAGGCTTTCTTACATCATATGTCTGCATACGCATTGTCAGCTTATTTATTGCATGATACTGATTCATCACCCTACACCAATTTTCAAATTTTATGAAAATATAACCCTCACCAAATAATGGTTTCTATATTTTTGCTTGCTGGTGTTCTATATATACTCCCAAGATGACAGAGAAAGGAAAGATATGAGATGCAATTTAATTGAATACTAAGTACATGTACATGTCAGGAAAATTTGCTGTTTTCATATCTTACCAAGATCGATGACCATGAATATAATCAGCTTTGCTAGGTCTACTTAACAAGCTTATCATACAAGGGCTTTGTATATAAGTATGTCTTTGTAACATGGACCTATTTTGTCTGTTTGAAGCAAGAAGGGCATTCAATCTTCTACTTTGATAGAGGGTTAATGCCATTCTGGCTCTGAATGGATGATTTCATAATTAACCTACCATGCTATTCACACAAGGGCTTTGTATATAAGTATGTCTCTGTAACATGCATTCTCCATGGACATATTTTGTCTGTTTGGAGCCAGAAGGTCACTAACTCTTTACTTTAATACAGGGTTAATGCCCTTCTTGCTCTGAACAGATGATTTCATAATTAACTTAATCCCTGAATAGACCCTTTCATTGCCTGTACTTCAGCTGACCTTTTTAGTAGGGCATCTTTTCTCTGGATTTGAAAAGATTCTAGGTATTGCCTTTGGGCTTTAGAAGGAAACGTAAACAAGCTCAACCTCCGTTGCACCAACTGCCTTTTTCAGTTGCTTGTCATTTTCTGAAGGTTTATGATTTTGATGGTTTGTTACTCCAAAGGTTATTAATTCCGAAATGATGTGTCAACCATTTTGGAATTGGAAACGAGTCATTGAATAAACACACTGAACACAAGAGCAACTAGAAACTAATGTACATGTTAGAAATCTGACATATCATGAGGAAAGAAACAAAAGGGATTTGCATGGAAAATCTTGAAAGGAAACTTCTGTTATTTGAATCGGGAAAGGAGGATTTATTCAGCTCTGGTGAAACTTGTTTCTCTTAATTGGTTTTTGACTTGTGATAATGAGCTAAGCTGTTTCATCAACAACTCAGTAGGAAAGGTATCGAGGTGTCTTTGAACCTGTGCATGTCTGCATCTGCGTGTAAGGTCCTTACGTTATAGTTTGAGTGTGTATATAAGGTACACATCTCACATTCATGCAAGATGTGCTAATAAGACCTTAATCTCCGGCTACACGCCACCTGCCAAGCTGCAGACTGGTCCAGACGTTTTATGCGCACTTTTTGGCGACACTTAACGAAAATGGATACTTTCCCTTTGCTATCGATTCCGTGAGGTGCTAGTCTGGTCGCGAGGAGACGGGCTTTTTCTGTCCGTGGCCTCGGCCGACCTGTTTTTTTTGTGCGGAGATATTAGCATGTGTGAATACTTAGGCTGCGTGGTGTGATGTCACGGCAAGTCAACCTTTACGTGTGTGCGTCAATTTCAGGGTGAAGAATAATCTGAGGTGCGTTGTGTATCTGCTTAAATGCGGATTTAATGAGTTGGGATAAGTGGTGTGAAGTTTGATAGCAGACTGTAAATATGTGGCATTCCTAGGAGTGTTAAATTACTTCCATGAAAGTCAGGTGGAGGAGAGAGAAAGAGAGAGAGAGAAAGAGAGAGGGGGAGTGAAAGCGAGAGAGAGAGAGAGGGAGTGAAAGCAAGAGAGAGAGAGAGAGAGCTAAAAGGAGAGTAGAAGAGGAGGGGAGAGGAACAGGGAAAGAGAAAGAGAGAAAGTGAGAGGAAAGAAAGAGACGAAGAAGAAGAAAAAAGGAGGGAAGGTGGGAAGAGGCACTATAAAGACAAGGAAAAATGAGAGAAAGAGAGCGAGAGAAAGAGAGAGAGAGAGAAAGAGAGAGAGAGAGAGATAAAGAAAGAGAGAAAAAAGACAGGGGGCCTATATCTTTATGAATTTAATTTGAATTTTATAGAACCCTTGATGCAGTTGACAACCGTATTTGTAAAAATTGTTTGTTGTACTTAGTAATAAGTAAATGTTACATTGTGTCCTACACCAACACTATGGTGAAGACATGCTTTTACTCAGTATGAGATTTGTTTTCCTTCCAGAGCTAAAGTATGAAATTTGAAAGTATTTTCAGTGTCGGCCCAGGGTCCTCTTACAGAGGGTAACAGGGGAAGGAGGGGGTCTATATG